TAGATGGAGTGGAAATGGCAAGCAAATGTTTTGGAAATTAGGTACGTATTTGATCTATAGAAATATTTAATACCACCCTGTAATTTTTTTTATTAGCCCAATAAGTACTAAAAATGTGCTGTATATAGCCCAGCTAATGTCCTGAGGACATCAACAGTAAAGCCTACGTTGTCCTCATTTGATCCACTGATAACCTGATAATAGCCCGGCTGATGTCTTGAGGACATACACAGTAAATCCTAGGACGTCCTCATTTGATCACTGATAACCTGATAATCTCCTGCAGATAGCCAGGCGGATGTCCTCAGGACGTTACGAGCAAATCCCGGGACGTTCCATTTGGATATCCCTGGTACATCCTGAGGTGATCGTGTACCTATCCGAGGATATCCTATCCATCCTGAGAAGTTATCCTCAGTACATCCTACGAATGTCATTGTGCTGTGTGGGATAATTAGATTAACAGTGAGTTTTAGGTAAAGTTCAGATATACTTCAGAAACTACACTCCTTTTGTCATTTTTTGAGGTAAACAAATGCTTACATTTACCCCCCTACCCCCCTACAAGGTTCCCCAATTATTTTTTAATTTTACATTATGGCTTGTGATATATCATTTGAAAAACAATTTCATTCTCTTTACAGTAATGTAGTTTTCTGAAAATTTTAGAAAACAAAAGAGTATTAGTACAGCTATTTTTTAACTGAACCAACTGAAGAGTTAAATAAAGATGATTATGATCGAAGGCTTGATTTCTGTGAACAATAATGGCAAAAATTGACCAAGAACCTAACTTTATATTTAATATCTGTTTTTCCGTCGAATGTACTTTTACCGTTAATGGTTTAGTCAGCTATCACAATTTGAGATACTGGAGTGATGAAAATCCTCACTGGATCAGAGAAGAACACACCCAGAGACTTCAAAAAATAAATACGTGGGCTGGTATTATTGATACTTAGCCATTATTGGTCCATTTGTAATTGATGATAACTTAATATGGCCAAAAGTACTAACAAATATCTTGCGTAAATTAATGGTACCTGCTTTGCAAAACTTAGTCATTAATTTTGACAGAATATGGTTCCAGCAGGACGGTACAACCCTCATTTTGCTTCTGGAGTTCGGCAATTCCTGGATCAAATGTTTCCGAAAGATGGATTGGGAGAAGGGGTGCTATTGAATGGTCAGCACGCTCTCCTGATATAACATCCCCAGATTCTTTTGGAAACGTTTATAAAATAGTGTTTATAAAATAAAGCCATTAATACTGGCGTCTTTATGGGCAATTTTCGAATTTTTGTCCAATTGTCTAAAAAAACTAAGCAAGTTAGAAACGATATCTCTTCACTGTAGTATTCATACAAGTGTTCTTCAGGGTGTGAGACAACTGACAACACATTTCACAGTTGTGGTTCTAAGGTATTTTTTGTCGAACTAGAGTCGGATTAACTTCAATATGTTTGAGTTGTATTTGCGCCGATTTTAGATAATATAAAAGAATGTGATGGCAATGCTTGTTTAAATGGGAATATTAAGCTTTGCACCTAAAATAATCGTAATAATAAAACTGTTATTCCGAGTTCTTACGAATACTGTTAAATAGTAGTAAGTACGTTAAAAAATTACAATTTTGACAACTAATCATTAGTCTAATAGTAAAAAGACCTATAAACACAAATAAATTATAATACTTAATACACACATATTGAAATGAACACACTGTGTTTCAAGATACGACACAGAGTAATGGTGGAGAAAAAATTCATGAAATTATAAAGTAGACTATAATGAAGACATAAATTACTTTTAAAGTAAAATAAAATCCCATTTCATAGTTATATCATATCAAAATTAAAATATTATCATTCAAAGTTTAACTAATACATTTTAATAGAGAAGCATGTCAAAAAGATAAAGTTTAGGATCGAAGTGGAAGCATGAAAGCAAAAGAAAAATGCCACAAAAAAGGCCAATTTAACAATTTTACAATTAAATAAACGTTAAATAAATTAGTACAAAAGAAAATTCAAATATTATAGTATGAGAAAAACACATAGGCTAGAAGTTTATTATAAAAATTGTCATTCAGAATTCCATATAGAAATTTCTTGTAAACTAGTTTTAAGACGTAAAAAAATACTACGCTGTTACAATATACAAATTACGCCGTAATTTATTAAAAATAAAATCACATCGCAATATCCACTTCTTATTTGTGGAAGGGCGAAATGGGCGTTGACTATTAGACGCCTTCATTATAGCCATCCTTGTCTATCACATGGATTTCTATGGCTTACTTTATCGCTCTCACGTAACTTCTGATAGACCATCGGTACTTTCCTACACTGTAGATACATAATAACAATTACGACAGTAATTTTTTTCAACCCCTGGCCAGGGGTGAAAAAAGATGAAATAAAGGGGTTTTTCAAGATAACTCAAAAGGGGTAAGAACTAGGAAAAAAGTTTCTTACAAAAGTTGTAGAGCATAAAATTCTACATAAAAATGGTCTATTGACACTTTCTTGTACTCTTAAAATTAACAGAGATAGATAGGGAGACTATAACTTAAGGGATGATTTTATAAATTTAAGAAATCATGAGCAAAAAAGTTATTTTTATAAAAAAAATGTTTCTAGTTCTTACCCTTTTTGAGTTATCTTGAAATAACCCTTTATTTTATTTTTTGTCACCCCTGGCCAAGGGTTAAATGTAAACATGTCAAAAAAAGGCCAAAAGGAATGTATTTTTTTTTTTTGCGTTCAAATAAAAACGTGGTCGAAGTTGGCTCTGACACATTGGACGTAGGGAGTAGCTTATAGCGACCAACTTAACCTCATTTCTCAACGAGCTGTATAACAGCTGTCAGTTTCAATAACGTTAATGACTATATAACTTTATTTTAAAGAATAATCGTGATAACAATAACAAACAATTAAAGGAGCTGCGGAAAGTGTCCCCCTCCTTGTTATAACAATAAATTAAAGCAGCTGCTGAAAGTGTCCCCCTCCTTGTTCCAAGCACTTTTCACACCTGTTCCTCAAAGAATTAAAGACATTTTCTAAGATGCTCGGGGTATTGTTAATTTCACGAATCTTGTCTATAAGTCGAGCCTGCAGATGGTTTAAATCAGGAATAGGCAGTTCAAAAATAGTGTTTTTAAGGTAAGGCCACAAAAAGAAATCACACGGCGTAATATCACATGACCTCGGTGGAAATTCATGTTCAGCATTGAGACTTATTAGTCGATTTTGGAAAACTTCCCTCAACATATTCATCGTCTCGCCTGCCGTATGTGCCCTTGCGCCATCTTGTTGAAAGTAAAAGTTTGTAATTTCGTTTTCTTCCAGCTGGTTAACAAAAGGAGCGATAATTTCTTCTCTATACCTTTGCGCAGTAAGAGTACCATTAAAAAAAATAGGTCCATAAATCCTCCTTCGATTGAGAGCACACCAAACTCCAATTTTTTGAGCGTGTAGAGGGCCCTCGACAAAAAAGTTATCTGGTTTTTCAGAAGACCACATTCTCATATTCTGTGAGTTTACGTAACCACTTAAATGAAACCAGGCTTCATCAGAAAAAAAGGTGATATTATGAAGTTCACCGTAGTTGTTTAAAAACCATTCACAAAATACAGCCCGTCGCGGAAAATCAACTTCATGAAGTTCTTGCTGACAAGTTAAACGATAGGAGAACAAACGCAAATCTTTTTTTAACACTGTGTGGCAGGTACCGACTGATACTCCCACCATTTGTGATAAAACACGTACAGAAGTTCTTGGCGCATTTTCCATTATTTGTTGGACATTTTCTTTTAATTCTTCAGTCCGCTTTTTAGGTCGGCCGCTTCCTTCTTTTCTTGTTACACTGCCCGTTTCACGAAAAACATTAACACAACGCTGAACTGCACTTTGAAAAATTTTGTACTCAACAACGCCGGGAAATTGATTTTGAAATTCTATGAAACATTCCTCAATAGAATACTTCCATATTCCATCAATCTTGCGTCCATTTCTAAAGTAGGACTCTATGATAAACACTTTTTGTTCTTGAGAAAACACCATTTTAAACGCTTTTTAAAACGAAAATATTCAAATTGATAGCGGCGATATAGCGCTTTGACAGATGACGTTTAAGTTCATTTGCTATACGCTACGCCCTACGTCCAAATTTTCAGAACCAACTTGACCACGTTTTTATTTGAACGCTCGTTATATCTGAACTTTACCTAAAACTCACTATTAATTTAGATATTTTGCTGTCTAAGGACTTTTGAGACACAAAAAGCATAAAACTTTTAGAAAAAA